GTATTTTATTACTTAAAAAGCTTTAATTCAGTGATAAATTCACCTGCTTAGTCCATCTTAATCTAAATTGTATTGTTGAGGCATTCGATTCAGTTCATCCGTCCATTATCTTTGCCTGCTTCTTCCTTTATTGGTGCCCATGTCCAGCAGTCACTGTGTATGAAGGGTGGGGTACAAGTCCATCACAGGCTCACTTAGAGACAAACGAGACAGAGAACCGCACTCTTGCTCACACCTAAGGACAATATAGAGTTGCCATTTACCTTAACACGCATGTGTTTTGGTCTGTGGGAGGAAGCCAGAGTACCCAGAGAAAACCCATGAATGCATGGAGAGAACATGCAAACTCTATCCAGAAAAGTTCCCAGCTAGGATTTGTTCCAGCAACTTTCATGCTGAGAGACAACAGCTCTACCAACTGAGCCACAATGACACCTTCAGTTCAGTTCAATTAAACTCAATTCAATTCAATTCGAAAATTATGACCCTGTACCTTTAAGAACAAGCTTTTAGCCCCGCCCCCTGACCGTGACGTTTCCTCCCCAGCATGCTCACTGGAAGTCAAATGATTGCTAATGGCGGGTATTGTACGAAACACGCGTATTTTATGCTATTGTTTGCTCACCGGTCGTGCAGACGCGCAGTAGTGCTTTCAGGAAAGTAGTCACTTGTGCTTCGGCCACTTATCATTGATGGAAACAGCGCAGGAGCAGAGTAAGAGGAGTTTGTAACTGTTTTCTAATACCCTCATGTGGCCGCGGCTCTCTGTGATGTCAAACTGAAAGTGAACAGGACGGCGGCGTGTTTGACTTGAACATATTAGCTTCAGGCTATGCAAACTCTCAGGGACGTCTGCTTCGCTGCTACGGTTCCACAGCTGGACAAAGCGTAAACCTAATGTGACAAAGAAAGTTCAGCTACTGAAAGAGACTTGTCCGTTCATTTGACCGTCGGTTCCATTGCTAAAAAAACCTGCTTGGGCAGCCTCTTGAACCGGAAACGATGCTCAAACTGTTTGTGTTGTTGTTACTGACCGCCATCGAGGTGGATGGCTCGTCTAAACTAAATATTCCCAAAGTGTTGCTCCCGCTCGCCAGAACTACAAGAATTAACTTCACTCTGGAGACCACGGAAGGCTGCTACAGATGGTGAGTAGACGTGAGGAGGTCTGTGGACCCTCAGTCCAGGAGTCAGGGGTCTCCATGTATGTGCTCACATTTCATTTGATTAGTAATTAAACACTGAACAGAAACAGATCTATGAACATTTAGTTCATGATTAGTAAAATGGTGTATTATCTCACTTGTTCTCTGTTTTAACTCAGAAATCATGTATTTCAGTGTCCTAAATTAAACAGAGGTGTTTGTTGTGAAAATGGATGTACTTGTTTAGCTTTTATTAAAATGTATTTTATTGCATCCGTCCTGCTGTTCAAGTTTAGAAACTTAAAAATATTTTTCATCAACGATCATAAACAATTATACAACATTTATGTCTTTTATTACAGAATTTTTTTGAATAATAATAGTATTACTTAAATATATGAACATTTAACAACCCTTAGAAGAACATGCAGCCAAAAATAATATGCAGAAAAGCATTGTTGCTTATAAAACCAATAGTAAACCATTAAAAAGTTTTCTGCTCAAACAGCATTGTGGATAGGGGTCAGCGGTGATTTGAGGAAAACAAACCCACACTGTTATTGAATTTGATAAATGTGACTCCTTTATTTCTGTTTGCCTGATGTATTTTTGTGAATTCTGGCGGAGAAAATACTGGATATGATTAAATGTCGGATACTAATAATAGAAAGTGCAATTTGAAGTTTCTGTAAAAAATCTTGTTTAGTAACTTTTGACAGTGTTATTTTTAACACGATTTTGATTTGTAATTTTATGTATTTAAAATGGTTGCTTTCATTTGTTTAGTCTTTCAACTCATTTTGAATTGGATTGTTCTTATCTGCTCTTACCCACAGAGATGAACTGAGCAAGCCATGAGATATTCAAAATATTAGATTATTTTAGGTCCCACCTGTACTCACTACCCTTAATAAATGATTCAGCAGTTAGCTGAGACTTCTTCTCATGTAGTTAGTTTCTACGCATAATATATACTCTCAAATAACAGATTTATTATTAGCTCGAAAATACTTATGAAACATTCATCGATAGTGGCGATGACCGATGCTGGGTTAAATATTTTGTCTATATCTATCATAAAAACCAAGTAACTTGACACTGTTACAGCAAGAGTGTCAGTTCCCCACATTTATGATCTGTAATTTCTTCTTGTGTCCCAGGACGTCCACCAGACCTGAAGTAGCGAGCATCCAGCCTGTGGATGAGGATGGCGCCAGAGGCTGCTCTCGCAGTGCTGTCCTGCAGGCCCTGTCCACCCAGCCCTCCAGACTGACCAGCATTATCTTAGCTGAAGATGTTGGTAAATACATCTGTGGCCTGTTAATCATCAAGTTAGAAGTTCGTCACTTCTGGTGTTTTGAAATATGTATCAGCTGCTTTTTCAGTGTGTGAAAGAAATGAAGAAGTATGCAGGAAATGTTTATATAAAATGGGTGATTATGGACTGTGGTAAATTACAGGGGACTTCATTTCCTATCAGGGGAAGATTGATGTGTATTTCCATCTCAAATTAATCAAAAGGGGGAATTCTTTCAATAAGTGACTGTAGATTTCACTTATTAGCAGCACAGATTCCACAATTTCTCATGAACAAATTTATGAACATGTTCTTAAACCATGCAGCATAAAATGGTAGAAGTTGGATTAATGAATCGCACGAAAATCGGCATTAAAGTTTATTGCAGGTAATTGGAGCGACAGTGAATGATGAAACCAAAATGAAAAACGCCTTCAAGCTTATTGCAAAGAATTAGTGGGAATCATGAATCATTAAACTCAAAAAATAAAAAATTTAAGACAGAAAAGTATCAGCTCTCATAAATTTTGGAGTGATAGGGGTTTGATAAACTGCGGGTGACTTCTTTGTTTCAGTTTGATCGAGCACGATTCGGTTTTCTCACGTAAAACTGGTTAAGTTGACAGAACAATAGTGGACACAATAGAAGATTTAATAACCTGGCATCAGAAAAAGTTGGTGTCGTTTTGATTTTCTTGTCTACTCTGCAAACGGTCTCATTCTTTTAATATATTCACCAAGTACTTGTTTCGTTTTTGCTTTTCTCTTTGCTGAGAGTTATTTTGTCTTGAGTTATTATCCTAGAGCCAGAGTAGCTTAAGAAACCTTAAGGTTAAGTACCAAATGCTTCATGAATGTTTAATAACCTCGAGCACCAAAGGTTATATACATGTTTGCATCAATTAGACAAGTTGTTTAAGCAGAGAAATGTGTCTTTATTGGTACGATGTGCGACGGCTACCTTGGTTTTAGTGGACATCTCTGCACATAAATGTCCCCTAGTGTTAATTAATTATCTATTATAAAGATGCAGATTGTCTCCCACCCAATTATGTGCTTATTTAATTATTGGCGGCAACTTCAGTTTGTTTTTAAAGTCTATTTGTTGCCTGATGTCCTGTTTGAGGGGTTCCCCCTCACTGTGGACCCAGCAGGACCTGCTCTCTTTCAGGGTTTTGTGGGTCAATCACTAAATTATGAATTAATACTCAAACTAAAGGGGAATATCTACTGGTCTATTTAAGAAACATAAATCTTGTTGTGTTGCTCAGTGTTTTATTTAAATTATTCCTCTTTTTCTCTTATAAATGCTGTATTACCTCTAATGCTTGTGCAACAGGTTGAAATAAAGGAGTCACATTTGCTTTGCGTTTTGAAAACAGACATTGCTTTCCACATTTATCACAAACATTACAGAGTAAAAAAAATCACAGTAGATCATTCAGACCACAGCCACTGATTTAAATGTGATCTGGCTCAGCTCAGCTGTTGTACATTTGTTTTTATGATCTTTCACTCGTGCAATAACTCCCTTACCAGACCAGAAAAGCCACAGTATTTGAATTCACTGATCGGATATTTTGCTTTGAGTAAAACAGGCCTCAAAGCCATCACTCTCCCCCCTGGGTATTTCTATATATGTATGAGAAAGTTTTTATTATGCTTTCCTGTTTTGCAGTTACGGGACAGGTCCTGCGCTGTGATGCTATTGTCGACATCATCAGCGACATCCAGATAGTCTCCACCACCAGAGAGCTACATCTGGAGGACTCTCCGCTGGCTCTTAAGATTCACGCACTGGACTCTGAAGGTGAGCTGCTGGCTTTATCACCCCATGCCAGCTCTCTTATTGAAGGCTGCTGGTGATATAAATAAGTAAACAACCCCCTCAAGTTCAGCCGTCATTTACAAATAAGATGTACTAATTCAGGTTTTCCGATAACACACAGCCAACATTGTTTTTGGTTATTAGCTGTTTTGAAAACTCTGGCTCCAGGCAGCTTTTTCTCTCATAGGCCACCACTCTGAGGTGTCTGTTTGTTTTGTGTGACAAGTTCCATTTAGGACAGCCACGTTTAGTTTAACGAGCTGTAGCTACAGCCTGACTCTTTCTGATGATGGCTCCAGGGTGAGGTGGTTTGTTTTGTTAGCTTAGGCATAAGAATACATTTGTGCAATAGCAGGAATGCGGTGTGATTTTAACACATTTGGCTGCCAGGAGCCAAGGTTTCTGTAGCTATTATACAGTCCTGACCAATTCACATGTCCCCGTAGGGTAGCTTTGTTTTTAAATTTGTGGGTGTAAAGAATAGCAATACAAACTTGTTTTTTTGTTTATATCGTAGGAAACACCTTCAGTACCCTTGCCGGTCTGGTTTTTGACTGGACCTTAGTGAAAGATGTAGATGTGAACGGATTTACTGACTCCTACAATTCATTACGGTAAGCTTCCTTGTTGGAATCTGTTAAACAAAATGTCACCATAAACAATATATAAAATAAGTCAGTTGTTAATTAAACTCATAATGTCAAATGAAAGAGGCCATACCAAGTTTAAAGTCAAATATCTTCTTGTGTCTCTTTCTCTCCAGGGTGCTCAAATTTTCTGAGTCCACATACACCCCTCCTGGATACATTTCAGAAATGGAGCGAGTTGGGAAACAGGGTGATATTATCCTGGTGTCAGGACTGAAAACAGGACACGCAAAGCTCAAGGCCAAAATACAAGAACCACTGTACAAGGTAAAGTCAGTGCTACTGTTTTGAATATTTTGCGGCGTAGCATAAAAATCTTTTAAGTTTGACAGGGACAACATAATTATAGCGTTTTGTCTGTCAGTGAAGCTGTTCAGGCTGAGTGTTTTAATCTGTGGATATAACAACCAAGTTACTAAAGCTGTGTCAAAAAAGTAAAGAAAATTACAATGCTTGCCCTGGTGTGTTATAGGCCTGGTGGGCCGCCAGACTTTGTGTGACCCCCTCCAAGCCAAGCATTGTTTATTTCGAGTCAGCACCTACTAGCATGGATGTTAGCGCATCGTCAGAGCAGCCTTCTGTGAGCAGGTAAACATCCAACTAGCAGATTTAGTTGAGTGGTTAGGGGAGTCGTCCTCCAATACAAAGGTTGCTAGTTTGATTCTCCCACTTTTTAGTCATATGTTGCAGTGGGCAAGACACTGAACCCCCACTGCCTCTGATGTGTGTCCCATCAACATGTCCTCACTCCCCACTTGTCATATTGACGCTTGGTCAGGTACCGTCTGCGTCCAGTTTTGACGCGTCGGGTACCCCACTCGTGTCAGTCATTGCCGCCCGCGGCTTTTCCAGGTTGTGCCACATAGGGGTCTTTGTGTTGGGGGTCTGTGGTTAATATGAGGGATCAGGGTTAATGGTTAATTTTAGGTACTGAGGTCAGGGAAAGGCTGTATAGGTCCTAATAAAGGTTAAATTTAGGGTCTGGGACAGTTAGTTGTCACGCATTTCCCTCTCTTCAAAAATATGACAACGAGCTCGTCCTCCTCCGTCTCATCTTGTTGACTCCGGATTTATACTACATGCGTCTCCACTACGCTGCGCTGTGGTGCGCAGGTCGCAGCTGTTCGTTTGTGTCTCAACTTATACAGCGTCTGCTCCGCTCCGGTCCGACAGAGTGTGCAGGAAGGAAATCGCGCGATAAATTCAGTGATAACAGCAAAAAATAATTATTCTGTGAAAGACGAACTCCAAACACAGCTGAAAACATTGATATAAAGGTTTTTGATATCTATGTTGAAACTCGCTGTCGTCTTTCTGAAACTTCTGATTTCAAAATAAAATCCACGTGTATCGTGTTTGTACACATATGCTTCATGCTACATGTTTCCATCTGCTTCCCAAACAGAACGATACATTCCGACAGCATTTGTGTAGAAATATATCTGTATATTTATTAATATAGCTGCAATTTCAACATTATTCCGACAAATTATCCAGCCTAAAAGTGTCTTATTTTGAAAATACGGATGTTGTGCTCGTTTCTTTTCCTTTTGGTGCGATTAAAAATTGACTCTGGCGCAGCTCTGGTGTCCGGCAAAAATAGAATCTGTTCTAATTTTGCCAGATCACCGTTCGCTCACCGCCGCCGTGCGCAGCCAGTGTAAACACTCTCATTGATTATAATGGGTGCGTATTTGTTGCGGAGGTCGGAGCGGAGCTGAGCCGGAACACGTAGTGTAAATTAGGGGTAAGAACTGACGTGAGGAGGGTACCTGACGTGTCCAAAACTGTGAAGAAATTATTGGGGTTTAGGTTTATATAACCGATTTAAATTACATACACATGGTATAGTCTTGATAGAACAGTAATGATTGTTAAATGTGACTGTTTTGCTTAACTTGATGATTTTTATATTAATAGCTACACGCCTGAAAACAAATTCAACACATAACTGAGCTTTTAATTTCTCATTAGGGTAGGTTTTTGATGTCTGAGGGGCATTGCTTCTAGTGAGAAGAGGGACCCCCCCCACTGATGACATAATCAAATAGGCGGAGCCATGCCTCGGAGCTTTTGTTAAAACCAATTGTACTTCTTTGTTTTCAGCCTGAACTCTTGGTCACTTGATTAAACCAGACTTCAGCAGATCTTTGGTTTTGTACTGTATGGTTTCTCTTTAAAAATCTTTTCCATGCATTTGTACATTCTCCATATGATTTAAGCACACATCCTGGTAAACGAACATGCATAACAATACTTTCTTTCAACTGGGCTCAGACGGCTACCTGACCAAGCGTCAATATGTTGACAAGTCGTGAGTGAGAATAGGTTGGTCCTATCAACGTATGAATGTGATTTAAGCACTGATTAGTCTCCACAGAATGATCTGTCTGGGTTAGCTTGTAGAGAGTGTGGGCAGGTAAGTGAGGACACAGATTGTAAAGGGATATGAATTGAAGGGAAACGAATAAATATAATATTTGACTTGATAGGATGTATAGTTTAGTTTGATGGATTTCATTTTATGGTTTTGATTGATGTTGACTTTGATAGAATTTCCTGTTTTTTAAATGTTTTTTTCTTTTTTTCCCCTTTTTATTATTTTATAATTTGTTTATCCTAATTAGTATTGTTTTAATTGAAAATCACACTTCAAAGTGAAAACATAATTGGAAACAAAATGAGCAGACTTTAAAAGATTATGTTATTCTTCTGCTGCCTTTCATTTTGTTTTTTTCTCTAAGATATATAAGTTGTGTATTATTTCTAATGTATTTTTGCTTTGTTTTTATTTAAAAATGAAATGAATACATTTTTTTGAATTGAATTGAATTGAAAAGTGCTTTGAGGATCCTGGTTGGATAGAAAGGGGCTATATAACTTCAGTCCATTGATCATTTCAATCCAAAATGGTTAGTTGACCCAAAATTTAGCAGATGGCTCTACAAGACCGAGTACAGTAAGCATGTTTTGAACTATATGAAAATATTAAAAATATTACACGTGCCAAGTTCAAGGCTCTGAAAGAGTTCTTTGAAAATCCCAGACAGACTGCATGTAGTGAACCAACATGCAGCCTGTGCCAAGAAAACGCGAATTCACGCGTCTGCTGTATTGCAACACGTTGCAGTACAGCAGACGTCTTCTTTCTAGTTCTATTTTAACCTCTTTGCCTTGGTCACTATCAGTTTGAGGGTTCCCTGTTTTAATGTTTTTATTTATGTTTATTTTTCTTTTAAATGTGAGCAGCATTACATAGCTTCTTTTAGGATTCACTGGCTGGTTATTGTATTAGGATTTAACATAGCTTCAAACAACTGATGATGTTTATTTTAATTGTATTTGAACAGTATTTCAGGAGTGTGCCTTTTTGTAAGACTGTAGTTGATGTGTAGGTGTTGTCAATATCTTACAATAACATAATTACAGTCATATTTTTTAATTTCCTGTCAACTTTTGGCACATTTTTAACAAAGTTTTTTGGGGGAAACCCTGACCTGGAGTTTCATAAGTTTTGCAGTTTACAAAGTCTACTGCATATAGTCAAGACAAAAGTAGCTAATGCAAATTAGACTTATTTTAGTTTTCCTGATGTGGTTTTGTGTGTTTCTGAACACTGTTACATGTTTCCTTTGCTTCGTTAAGGCAGAAAACTAAAGCTTTGTTGTTGTGTAACCATGGTGCTTCATGCCACAGGATGTGGGTGCTGCCGAGGTGAGACTGCTCATCTTAGAGAACATCCTGCTGAGCCCTGCACATGATGTCTACTTGCTGGCAGGAACTTCAATCAGATACAGAGTGCTGAAGATAAGACAAGGGACGATCACAGGTGTGGCTTGTTAGCTTGATTCAGAAGTCCATTATTTTATCTGTCCCTGCATCATTGACTTTGTCTTGTTCAAACATCCGATAAGCTGAAGAAAAAAAAGTGAAGATGTTTGTGTCACTGATACCACTGCTGAGTGGGAGCAGCTATCTTTACTTTAAATCACTTTTTTACTAATTCTGTTTGATTTATTTATTTTTGAATCCAGAGCTGTCCATGCCTTGTGATCAATACGAACTGCACCTCCAGAACAGTGTGGTTGGCCCTAATGGAAACCCAGATGTTGCCGTGGCCAGCTTGGACCACAGCACCTCCACAGTTACAGCTGTTCAACTGGGACACATTAATGTGGTGCTGGATCATAAGAGTATCCTTCTGACAAACTTCACCAGTTACTACAGTTGTATAATTCTGTTTATTCATAATGTTTATGTAGATTTGTCTCTCAGATCCATTAAAGCAGCTGAGTTTAGAGCAGAAATAGGACTGGGCGGTATGACCTCAAATTCATATCACAGTATAAATTCAATCTCTTCACAGTAATGGTATATATCGCGGTAGAAAATTATCATAAAAAGCAAAGATAATATAATTTTTAGAGCATTTATTTTGCAGAAAACTGTAATCACAATCAAACCCAGCATTTTTGCTGTAGTGCACATGAACATAACAGAAGTACAAAAGTATGTTGTATATATTGCAAAACGGTTTCTACAACAAACAAGAAGATTTCTCAAATTTTCAACAATATCAAAACAAAGTGGATGTTAAAACCATTACTTAAAGTAAAATTAGTCATTTAGACATAAAAACAAGTCTTAAGTTGGCAGAAGTTTTCTAAAATGTTAAAGTGTGACAGGACCTTAAGGAGCTTAAGCTGCACATAGTTCTATCATAAAACAATTTCAGATAACTGGAATATAAGTGTGGTGAAGCCAAATAAATGTAACATCTGCCTGCCATACAATGAGCTTCTGCCTGCTGAACTTATCAGCTGCTGCTCTGCTGCTCTCAGAGCAGAAGCCGACATTAGCAAGATGTATTTATGACTGAATGAACGTCCACGTCTTTTTTTTTTATCATCTCTGTGGGTAACAATACATAAAAAACAAGGTTTTTTTATTAGACAACTTGGGTGTGAAAAAACTGCAGTTGTTAAAGCAATGTACAGTGGGAGGGTGGGAATTATCCTGTGACACGACAGCATGACAACTTTTCTACAGCGGGAGGGGGAAATTTTGAGGATTTATTCTCTATACGTGTTTTAAAACACTATATTTCTTTCTTTATTTTCATTATATTTTGAACCCCTCCTGCCCATTTGTCTCTGCACTCACAGCCCTGTTGACACAGGTGCGATGACGTAACTGATGACAGGACGGTAGGTCCTCAAGTGGACTCTATCCTGTATGTTGTACTTGTTTGCCTGCTCCAACACACCTGATTTGAATGAATGGGTGATTAGCAGCCTTCTGCAGAAGTTGAAGAGGCAATTCAATAACTGAATCAGGTGTGTTTGAGCAGACAAAACCTCTAAAACATGCAGGAGGGTGGTCCTCAAGGACCAGGATTGGACACCCCTGGTTTAAGTGTAGCTGAGTCCGTTTTCCTTAGCGGCATCTTTTAAAGGCCTTCTGATGCAGGGAGTGTCTCGCCTCCCCAACAGCACTCTCTTTGTTGTTGAACCAGCCTACCTAGGTTTGTGTCTTTCTCCTTCAACACAATGATGCACTAAAAATGTTAATGCTTAAAGATTTAGCTGACCTACTTTTACTTTCTTTTGCTTTCTGCAGGTTTTAAAATCCATCCAGGAGACAGCTGGGTTCTTGAAACGGGCAGAGTGTACGATATTCTCATTGAAGTGTTCGATAAATCCAGCAACAAAATTTATCTGTCTGATGTGAGTGCATTCCAATACAAACACTCAGTTTGAATGACTGTTTCAGTCAGAACAACAACTTTAGCAAAAGAATTCAAACATTGTAAGTTAGATGAGTCCTATAGACACTCCTTGACTTTGTAGCTGCTGATAAATTGCAACAAAGCTCTAAAACAATCTGACTTGTTTTGATTCTACAGAACATCCGCATCGACACCGTGTTCCCTGTGGAGTATTTTGAGATCCTACAGTCCTCTCCAAATGGATCATATCATCACGTCAGGGCCCTCAGAGATGGCCTGACTCTCATCGACGCAACGCTGAAAGCGGTTCAGGATGAAGTGAGTCGACCCTTTTCAGTTTGGAGTTCAAACGAAGCCTCGTCGTCAGTTTAACCCTCTTCACTCTTTTTTTTTTCCCCTCACTTCATCTGGAGAGAGCTCGACTCATTTCCTGCTGTCTGTTTTGTTTCAGAGAGGAAGGGTCCATGCGTTGGCCAACCCCGTTCACAATGAACAGGATGTGGAAATTTATAACCCCATAGTCCTCACTCCCAGTATTCTCACCTTTCCATGGCAACCGAAAGTTGGGGCTTATCAGTATACAGTAAAGGTAAAATATTCCTTTTCAGCTGTGGTGCTTGAATGAGTTTGATTCTGATAATACAAGGTATTTCACGCTAAGAGTCTGAGTTTATTTTAAAAACAAAAAACTGCCATAAATGATTTTTGTCTGTGTAGTGCCAGGTTTAATTTATATTTATATGTTTATTTTTATTTAGAAATGTATTCATTTAATTTAAAACAATTATACACACAACAGAAAACAAACACGTACAATCAAAATAAAATGAAAGGTAGCAGAAGAAGAATAAATCTTATAATATCTTCCCCTATTTTACCCACAGAATATGTTGAAATAAAGGTAAATGTCAAATAAATAAATAAATAAAATAAAAATCAAAACAACTCGAACCAAAAACCTAAATTAAAACATCAACTCAAACAAAAATTTGCATGGATTCACATTATGCTCCTCCATATTTCTTCAGGATATTAACGTTTATCATTCTTTTGAATATGTACATAGATCTGACATTTTTAACCTCATCTTCCAGACCGTTCCACAATCCTATTCCCTGGATTAAAGTACATCTCTCCTTCATACTCGTACGAAACCAAGGCTTCACAAACACTTTGATCCCCTTAAGATAATAATAGTTCTCTCTTTTAACAAAATTTACTTGAATGTTTGAAGGTAATATATTTTTGTGAGCCTTATACATAAAGAGCAAAATATTATAATCAATCAAATCATAGAATTTCAAAAATTTCAATTCATAAAACCATATATTCGATGGATGGCTGTAATGTTTTTTAGTAATAATTTTTATAGCTCTTTTCTGCAAAATAAAAATAGGATTTATGATTGTTTTGCAAGCTTTACTTTGAACGTCAGTACAATAAATTAAGTTTACATTAGGTTTATTGTTTTATTTAACATTGACAAAATTTCCCTGTCACAAATTGCAGGCGACAGGCGGGAGTGGCAATTTCAGCTGGTCTTCATCCAATACAGCTGTGGCCACAGTGACCGTGAAAGGAGTTATGACCACAGTCAGCGACATTGGCGTCACCACAATTTATGCTCACGATCTGCGTAACCCTCTCCACTTTGGTCAAATGAAGGTGAGCTGATGTGAAGAACTAAAAGTGAATTTATAGAGACAGTTAGAGAGCACGTCCTCCACCTTATTTCACAGTTTTAAATGATGAAGAGTTGTTATGTTGACGGATGGTTGGACTGAACTTAACACATGCCTCCAGTTACAGGTCGTAAAGTTTAGGGTCTTAAAAATAATTACAAATAATTGTCATTTTGCCTGACTTTCAAGTTTTATAACACATTTTGTTCCTTTTTCTTCCCCCTGCTCTAAGGTGTATGTTGTTGAGCCTGTAGCCATGGACTTTGCTCCTTGCCCAGTAGAAGCCAGGTTAGGTCTGGTTCTGGACCTGCCCCTCAGGATTTTTGGCCCGCTGGAGGAGCTGGAGAGAGAGCGGGTCATGTTAAGTGACTGCTCCCACTTTGATCTGCTGGTTGAACAGGAGAACCACGGGGTCTTTGAATTACTAGATGGTAAGTAGTCCTGGTGATCCAGTTTGATCAAACAGTGATGCAATGAATTATATATATA